ATAGATAGATAGATAGATAGATAGATAGATAGATAGATAGATAGATAGATAGATAGATAGATAGATAGATAGATAGACAGATAGACAGACAGACAGACAGACAGACAGACAGACAGACAGACAGACCTGATGTTTAAACCTTCTGTTTGTAAGAGGCAGCCAATCAGAGGAGCTAAAATGGATTGTTTCAGATGCTGAAAAAACTTAGCAGATGCTTTAGAGCGTCAAATATAAATAATAAATAAGAGTCATGTTAAGAAACTCTTTATATATATCTTTTGAAAATAATCGCTGCTTGTGGAAAAAAAAAATCAGATGTTGGGTGCACAACACAAACAAGACAATCTTCTCAGTAAAAAATATGTAAATTTAGAGTAAATAAAATGCTCACCAAGAGTAGCATTCTCAAAACAACTCAATTTCCAACAAACTCCAATTAACACATCATCTCAAAAATGTATTCTTGAACAGAGGTTTGAAGCTACCATTATCTGCATATAATGAGAAAGTTGTCATTTATAGGCATGAACCCATAGAGCATTATCACTGCAGCTCTGCAGAGATGTTTTTAGCACAATATTTTGCATTTCTGGCAGCCAGCTTTACTGCTTTGATTCAGTCCCGCTGCACTCATTAGTGTGAACCAAAAACTGCACAAACTGGCTCTACCCCACAGTACCCACAAGGCACCAAACAGCAGATATACATAGTTAGAAACTTGAACATTTAGCTTGTAAACTGCACATTTTCTCCAGAGTTTGTGGACACCAAGTCAGAGTGACAAAGAGCAATGACAACAGGCAGCTGTTGCATCTTGAAATAGTGCTTTTGATTTGAGATTAAAATGATTGGCTGAAAGATGCAAAAATGCTGTTAAGAGACATGGAGCGTGGTAATTCTCAGGGATTTTATCATCCGTTTTGTTTTTCATGAATTTATTGTATCTGTTGTTATGTTGAGTTTAAAGAAGGGAACCTACTGTATAGGTCAGTCTCGTCGAGGATCTCTGACTTGATGATTTCTTCAATAACGTCCTCCAGGGTGACAATACCCAGAACTTCGTAGAAAGGGTCTCCCTCACCTTCATTGTTCACCCTCTGAACTATGGCCAGGTGGGATTTTCCTAGCAAATCATACACACACATACACAGGTCATAAAGTTGGAGTCATATGTTATAGACGGTTAAACGTGGTTCACACAGTGAGCTTGGTTATAAAAGAGAAGAAACAGGCGGGAGTAAACATGTCTAATGTACCAATCTGAGGTGTATCATGGATAAATGTTTTATATAGTCTAAGTTTTTCTGTATAGCAAAGAGGAATTATAAGTTAGGTAGCAGGGTAGCAGGGATTATGGGGATTCAAAATCACACAAAGAGCAGGTGATGCAAAGTGATTTGAAGGCATGACTGTTGTACCCAGGGATACAGTGCTTGCTAATGTGAGGGTTAAACTGTTATCAGTGCCAGGAAAAAGTAATTCAGACCAAGACAGACAATCAAACAATCCTAAATTTCATCGTATGAACCCCTTTTGCCCTCCTTCCTTCCACATCTGTGTTCCCAGGACCCTCCTGTGTGCTGTAACATCTGAAAAAAAAGAAACAAACTGCCGTGTATGCAGAGACGACTGTCAGGCAAAACACTAAACAAATTCTTTGACTTTTCTCAGCTTGTGATCATTTAAAAGGAATTTTCCAGAGGCCTAGGCTAATATTAGCCCCTGCAAAATGAAGTTTCCATTCCGCCCTGGCGATATTCTCACCAAGCAAAGGAACAGACCGGGCGAACCTCCGCTGTGTGATCAGATTGTCTCGGAATGGGCCGTTTGCATGCAGATACACCTGGGTATAAAAACATGGAGGACGTCAGAGTGCTTCTGCGTACGTGTGCATGCACGTGTGTCAGGAGCGTCTGTGTGCACAAAGGAGTATGTTTATTTTACAGGTACATCACAGGGTCTGGTCTCAGTTGCTGTTTCAGCTTATTTTTACTGCTTCGATGCAGGCAAGCACAGACTGAAAAGATGTCTGAGCTAAAGACCAACAGAGTTATACTGCACAGCATCTCACTGCTTCCTCGCAACACTATGACAGCACAACAATGTTCAGTAGCTAGAACCTGAAAGTGAGAATGTTGTGAGTGCTAGATGGAGAATTGATGCTTTCAAGAAAGATACTCAGGTTACACCTAACATGCTGGCAGCGTAAGATCCCTTAAGAGAGGTATTAATAATGTAAGGACATAAATCCACTAACACAAAGAGCCTGAAAGTAGAAGGCCTTAGAAAATCTTAGCACCCAAGTGTCAAAAAACATACAAATGATATCTTCAGCATAGTGCTTTTTTTACTGAGACAAACACAAATGGCACCTCATGGGTTAAAGCAATCATACCTCTGTAGTCCTTGAGCATGCACTTACTCTAAACTGCCCAGGGAGGGAAAGAGAAATGGAGTGGCTAGCACAGCACAGCACTGCAGAGTGAAATTGATCAATGCTCGCTTTTTTCTCGCTAATGGCATCCACTTCACTCATGTTAATGAACACAAGTTATGAAGTTTAGGTTTGTACTGTAATAAAACATGTTCTGTCTTTACACCATAGAGTTTAAAATGAAATTAACTAACCATTGTCAGTAAAAAAAAAAACAGTTTGCTGCTGCATTTAAAACTGAAAATTTAAAAAAAAGTACATATCTGAAAAGTCAAAAAGATTTCTGTTTTTCCAAGAGAAGAAACATCCAGCTTGTTATCAGAGCAAAGTTTGAAACCACCTTCTGCTTATAGGTTTTACATTTGCAATTACCCATGCCATTACTGCATATGGCATGGGTAACTGCAAATAGACCATTCATGTTTATAAAACAAATACTGGATTTGGAGAAAGAAATGCTGCTATTCAGGCTTTTCCGACTTGCTTCTTTTTTTTTTGAAACTCGCATGTATTTCAGCTGCACGAGTAACGTAGTAACTGGGTGAATACTGTGAAATGTTATTTATTAACATTAATCATTATCATTACTTATGTTGTATGGGGATGCAGATTGCGATTTAATATACTGTTTATGTTATCTTGTTAACCTTTTATCGTGTTTATGGGAAGAACTGGCTTAACCTGAGGATGAACATGACATGCACAGGACATGCTCTAACATTTGTCAAAGTGAGTAGGAGGACTTTTTATGTCAAAATATTTCCTAAATTGCAAAATAAAATTATGTTCATCCACACATACATAACCAAAGAGGGGCAAATTACAAATTACTACTACCAGACCTCATAAATAGTCACATCGTCGACTCTTTCTACAGAGGTTACCTTAACATCTTTGCACATCTGTAATTTCAGCCATTGGTATCCCAAAAGCACCAAAGGACTTGATGACTCTGTTGTAAGGGTTTCAGCAGAGGCAGTAAGCGTCATTACTTAAAAACGACATAAGGATGAAACTCAGTGGGAAGCCGAGATGACAGCGAGAAGCATGTTTATGCAAAGTTTCTAGTCTGTCCCATGGACTGATATATAAGGAGACTCAACATTTTGTTCTATATAACAGAGGGCACAGACTGGCGACCTGTCCAGGGTGTACCCCGCCTCTCGCCCTATGACAGCTGGGATAGGCTCCAGCGCCCCCCATGACCCTGAAAAGGATAAGCGGAAGCGATTGGATGGATGGATGGATGGATAACAGAGGGCATAAGAAAATGATACACCCAATAATTTTCTCTTGTTACTATACTGGATGTTTTATGTGTCATTAGGCCAATTATAAATAAAGGATATGCATTGACAGAATATGTTGCAGCTCTAAAACCATGGGTCCACTTTATTTCACCTTTTTCTGAATATCTTCAGCTCATGAAACGGCTGTTATGAGTTTCCATCACTAGTGGATGATCTTCCAGTACTTGATGGATTGGTTTAAAAGTTCAGTTTGAATTTATGATCACTTTGATGATCTACTGACTTTCCCCCCCATAGTCTGAGTAAATTTTCAACAACTACCAGAGAGTTTGCCATGGATAAGTGACAAGAGTGCCTATCAAAATCTGTGACCGATTAGCTTCAGCATTACTCTTTGCTTGTGATAAATGTGCTGGTGGCACATAGAAAAAATGACAACCGTGGTATTAGTTATAACTACATGACTTAGCATCATCATTGATGTTAACGTTTAGCTTGTGTAGCTGGTCTAAAGTTCCTGACAGAGCTACACTTTTTTATTAAAATATTCTTGGCCGAGCACAATTAGGAAATACGGAATGAATGAATGCTCTTCTAAACTCTGGAAAACTCTTCTTTTTCCTTTTTTTTTTTTTTTTTAAACAAACTGTATTTAAGAGCTGAGTCAATTAGACACTGGAAAATTTCCATGGGATTTGAGGGTGGGTGCGTGACCTCAGTACGGCCCTGTGGAGCAGACCTTTTGATGTACATCCTTCTCCTTATGCTGCCAGTGTATTAAACAACAGCTAAACTGTCTACTCAAGAGGATTAAGCACTTCCTGGTAGTGCACCTCTACTGCTTTGTTGTTAAGGAAAACAAAATAATCCGCTGTGTACTTTTTACTTCAGTTCACCCAATTACAAATAAACCGAAACTGTAATTTACAGGGCTACTGACATTTCTCAGAAATGTTCAAACATAGCACTGAATAACTGTAATAATTGTGTTGTAGTTCTCAACAGGCTTCCTTAATAGATGAAACTGAAAGTGAATTGACCCTTGACCCTGCTGTTTGCAGTGTGCCTGTGCGCTGGACTACCCAGCATGCATTCAGCCTCATCCCAGCTAGATAGCCCCAGATGTCAGGCAGCAGTGGTGGGTTATAGGACCCTAGACGACTGGCCTTAACAAGGACACGCTCTCCCTGAGGCCCGCTGCCAAGTTCCAGGCTCCAGAAGGTCCAGAGTGTTAGCTTCTACTCTCTACCTCTACTCCCTCTTTTTTTAAAAAAAAAACAAAAATACACTGCTTCTACGGCAGCGAAGCAGCTATAAATAAACAGGCTGTCATTGTCTCATAATATATTTATGGAACACAGAAGCTGCATTTTTTTTCCTCTTGTTTGTGTGTTATTTTGTCTTTGTGGGAAACTGGAAAGTATGCACTCATCTGTGGGACAGTGAGACAAAATAACTGGGATGGCACTACTGTGCAAACACATATGTGTGTGTGTATTTGTGTGTGTACTGAGAGAAGCAGAAAGTGACTCTAGTTAGTTAAAGGTAGGGTATATGGTTCCTTTCATGGTAACACTGCAACTTTTTATTCACATGTAAACAGAATTTATAACCTTCAACTGATTATAACCTGTCATAAAAAAGTTGTAGTGCTTGTATTTGTCAACTAACCAAACTGATTTTTGAACAAGAGTATTTTGTGCATTAGGTTTTTTAATCTAAGTATTCTAAGTGATATCAGACCAAAGCTTCAGCCAGAACAATGTGATGTGATGTAATTAAAGACGGAAAAAATGGAGGCACTAAAGGGAAAGTCATTGGGTCCCCAAAGTCAGTCAACCAGTCACCAAAATGCCAGTCACCATAATAAAAGAACCTTTGAAAAATCTAAATTGGGGTTGCAATAGTTCAGGAAGTAATATTCTTAATGGGCCCATTTTCATATGTAGTTTGTCAAAGATCCAAATTAAAAGCGCTCCAACTCTTGATAACTGTACCAAGCCAAACCAATAAACCATCCATCTATCCATCCATACCCCAAAGCCAAGCCTGAGAACCTCCATTTAGGCCTTCAGAGACTAAGCCATGTGCTCTTTTCCACCATTCCCATCTTATTTATGGAATGTAGCTTTGTCATATTTTTCCATAGCGCAATATGCCCCTATAAATAGGCACGTAAGGCTCAGAGACTTGGGGTGGGAGTATGAGGGGTCAGTATCTGTTGTGGACACTCATCACTGCCCCCCTCCCTGTCTCGCTCTCCCCCTGTTTTTCCAAATATTTGAGCCCTGACAAATATAGTGCAACGTTAGGGTGATGGGAACTCGTTGGATGGTCTTTCTTCTAAATCTACCTCCTGTGAAAAAAAGGAGCAGAGTTTCAGGCTATTCTCACCCATTTTTCCATTGACATGGATAAAAACTTTACCCTGGTAACATG